GGTAAAGCGCATTGCTAAGATATTCAATTTTAGGGACTCAGCGTGAAAGCTATCTCAAAGCATTTAAAAATAAACTAAAAAATCGTATCTACGACAATTCTCTGTGGTAATTACGCCGCGCCGCCGCTGGCTATTGCCTGTGGTAATAGACAAGGTCGAATCCATCGTCGTCGCCTTGTATTATATCTAGGATCTACTGACTAAATAGATTCCCGTAAACTACTATTTTAATTAGTTCCTCCAGTTCCTCTAGTTCCTCTATGTCCGGATCCGATAACATACGGCTGGCACTTCCCACTCCTGCCTAGTATCGATCGCGCTCTCCAGATCCGTACGTACGACGTACGTAAACTAATCTTATATTTAGTTCCTCTAGGTCCGGATGCGATAACGTACGGCTGGCACTCCCCACTCCTGCCTACCATCGGGCTACGCGCGCCGGTCGATCCGTCGCCGTCGCATATTATTATATATCGGTCACAGTCTCGATCCCGGAATAGGTCCTGCGGAACTAGTTCTTTGATAAACCAGGAACTAGTTCCTTTCATTCCGGGGTCGGAATAGTTCATTGGAACTAGTTTGTTCACGAACTACACACCTTTAGAACCATCTGATGAGGAAGAAAAAGATGAACGCCTACGCAGGAATCTGCACGGCAAATTAAGAAGAAGAAAAAAAAAAAAAAAAAAAAAAAAAAACTTTAAATTAACAAAATTACTACCAATTACCTGATGGATAGGTGGTTATGTAATCTAGTAAAACCATGAAGCATAATATTTCTGTCTGGAAATAGTTCCTTTGTCTTATAAACATTTATGATGTGTGATGTTTGAAAAATCAAGGAAGCGACAGCCATATAAGTTTTAAGGTTCTAAAATTAAAAATATATATTAGCTACTATATTTGAAATTGATGTTCCTTCATAATATTTTTAGATCAGTTTAAACATTAAACTTTAATCTCATATTAAATATTACAGCTATAAAACTGAATAATTTCTGAAAGTTAGATGTTTTATGAGGCCCTAAAATTGCTGGAAGGCTCTCCCACATGGTGATTAAATATCTAAAAAGCGAATGTAAATATTATGTGATTGCTAAAACACTGTAAATCTTTGTCGATATTTAGCATCATCCGATATTTTTTCTTTAATAATCTTTAATAATTGGTTTAATCATGACTGTAGATAAGTTTTAATAGAAAATAAATATGAAAATTTGTCATACTTTTAACCCTCAGCTGGCGTGGTGGGGTCCAGCGGACCCCAAGCTCTATTTAAACCTCTGTAAAATGTTTACGTTTACGAATTAGGCCTTGCCGCGCCATTTACCTTTAAGTTAGGGTACCAATATGCAATTGTTAAAGGCGCACTTGATTTTATCAAGTATTGTTCCTACAAGCGGGGGCTAAAGTGTCATTGGGGTCTGTCTGGCACCACCACGCCAAGAATGTTACATTATTAGGATGGTGAGTAGTCTAAAAAGTGTGCCCCACTGGGGCGCTAATTTTGAGGAAGCATTAATTGGGTGGTTTGATGAACTTGAAGAGGCTTAACCATCGAGACATTGATTTTTCTCCGAAGGGTAACCATAACTCCGATTCTGAATCTCTTACTTATAGAAGAGAGAAAATTGAATAATCAATACCAGAAAAGAAAGAGATGTGGTATATGGCAACCATATGTCAATGAAGAAATGACAAAAAACAAAAATCTCATGAATCAAATGTGCACGATCAATGTGCGGCAAATGCAGATCCTATATTAGCATGAACTGTATTTGAAAAAGTTATGTACATTCATGGTTTGCAGTTTTGTTGAAAATAATTTATGTTTATTACTTTAGCTTCACATTTCAGTTGTTTGTACTCTTAATAATACGGTAAAAACCTAAAATATATGTTTTTAATTTCTATGGGTTTCTTAGCCAATTTATATTTCTATTGTCAAAAATTCCTAAAAAATGGGTTTTACTTTATTTTTGTGTCCATTCTTTAAAAAATTAATGAAATTGTTTGTTCACAAGTTTGAATATATTGTAAACAGTGTTAAAATAACAAGCTTTTTATAAAATCTCTTCATCGTGTATTTTAAACTGAAAAAAAAAAATTGGGGTCCGTCGGACCCCAGCACGCCATAAGCGTTACTAAAATTCACCACACCAGTTGAGGGTTAAACAAAAAGATCTATCCCTTAAAAGATATGAGATTTTAAGGAAAAAAATATCACCAAGTTAACCGTCACAATCACCAAGTTAACGTCACAATCACCAAGCTACGTTAGAATAAGTGTATCTTTAGAGACATTATCTTATAATCTCATTTTCTCAGTGATTAAAATAATCATTATATCTTTTTATAGAACTCTTCCATAGAGCCATATTGATGAGCGGTACAGCTTTAGCAGACTGGGCAGTGGTCAGCAAACCTCTAGATATCTCCATACAAGTAGCCCAATCATTAAACTGTCAGTTACATGATAATTTTTCAGACTGTTTACGAAGAAAAAGGTAAGTGAAAAAAAAATAGTCTAAAATGTTTATAAATTAATATACAGGGTCGTCCAAATTATTATTTGTGAATCTTCGGTAACATACTCTGCAGTTAAAAATATGTGAATTTCATCTCGATTTTTCAAAATAATTTCTGAACAAATATCGATATTGGAATGAACATTGGTGTCTGGGAATTTTTGTGACATGGGAAATTTGATTTCGATGTCAATCTGACTGCGACTTGTAGGGGGCACCACTTACATGTTAGTGAACTGTTTTGAGAAATAGTAATAATAGTCTAAGAGCTAGCAACGTTTTCGAGAAAGTATTTTAAGACGTCTGGCTCTTTGATATCTCTTTTATTATGCTCTTTGGAACAGCGTGCAGGCCGTTTGGCTGCCGATACAAGTTGCGTTCACTACTGCGCATCCAAAGAAAATCCTCTATTTTTTACTTAGCGCTTTAAATTCTGGTATTGAATAAAAATCGAGCAAGTCTCCATTAGCTCGGCGCGTATAGCTTTCGCCTATGAAGCGAAGGTCAGTGGTTCGATACCGGCTGGGGGTGCAACTTTTTTCTTTTTTTTCGTTTATTTCTTTTTTATCACCGGAACGGATAGCGTTTATGGGTTTATGATCCGTAGTGTATATAAGTAGAATTTGATACTTTCATTTGTTTTGAAGGGTTATTGCGGTAATTAATTAGATAGGTTTAGGATGATCTGGGTGTCGCGCCGGTAGGTTGCGTTCACTACAGCGCATCACATGGGTACAGGGTGCCTCATTTTCGTGTGTTTTTTGGGATTTGGGATATCTGGGATTTCTCGTTTATGAGTGGAGATACAATGATGCGTTTTTTTTGCGCATTTTCTACACATTAACATTAATCAATCTTGTTTAAAAAATATTATTATTTAATTTAATTTAATTTAAAAGTTAACCAGATAATTTTGTTTTCCATCGTTATCTTAACAAACTGAACTGAAAATAAACTTGTATAGTTTTTAGATAACAATCTGTTAAAAAAGTATTATTAAAATGATTATTAAAATAATAAACAACAGCTGAAAAAAATATATTGAAGAAAGGCAGAAATTACCTTATTAAAGCATTAAAATGATAATTTTTATATATTATGTTTAAATCTTTAAAATGAAATTATAAACGAGAAATCACAAAAAACGCACAAAAATGGGACAGCCTGTACACATGTGATGCGCAGTAGTGAACGCAACCTACCGGCGCGGCAGCCAGACCATCCTAAACCTACCTAATAATTAATTACCACAATAATCCTTCAAAACAAATGAAAGTATCAACTTCTACTTATGTATACGACGGATCATAAACCCATAAGCGCCATCCGTTCTGGTGATAAAAAAGCAAATATTTAACACTTTACTATCAGAATATAAACGAAAAAAAAAAATAAAAAAGTTACACTCCCAGCCGGTATCGAACCACTGACCTTCGCTTCATAGGCGGAAGCTCTACGCGCCGAGCTAATGGAGACTTGTTCGATTTTTATTCAATACTAGAATTTAAAGCACTAAATAAAAAATATAGGATCTTCTTTGGATGCGCAGTAGTGAACGCAACGGGTATCGGCAGCCAGACGGGCCGCATGCTGTTCCAGAGAGCATAATAAAAAATATATCAAAAAGCCAGACGTCTTAAAATACTTGTTTTCCCGACGTTGCTAGCTCTCGTACTATAACTTTGTGCCCGTATTTGTATTAAACTACTGAGTGAAAAAAATTGCATTTCCCTAAACACTTAATTATTCTTCATAAAAAAAGATCTTTTGTCTATATCTTATATTTCTTGGTAAAAATTGCTAGGGGCAACCGTTCTCAAGATATTTGGAATGGAAATTGTTAATACATGTCACCACTGACAACAATTAAACATGTTGCTTAGATAGTTATTTGACTGAAATGAGAAATCTATGGGACACCGTCTATATTTATAATTTAATTAAAATAGTATTAAATTATTAGTTTAAAATTTACATAAATAGAAGAGTAAGATATTAACTTTGTGTTATTTTAGGTTGGATCAAATTATGTCGTCTGCGGCAGTTAGCGATCCGTATAGGACAACCTTTGGACCTGTGGTGGATAATATATTTGTGCCTAACGACCCGAAAAAGTCAATGGCCCAGTACACGGACATATTTAAAAGGTAAACTTGACCCTAGGCAGGTCTGAAATAACATACGATCTAACAATCCTGGATTTAAGTTGATAGATATATCTATTTAGTTGGTTTGCTAGTTGTGAAAGCAATGAAATCTCTTTTTTCGAATATAAATATAACGAAAATAGAATAACAATAAAAATTAAGAGGACAAAAGTCTAGCAAACGTCGAAACACCTGTTTCCCAAGATCGCCGAAACTAAGCGACGTTACACGGTGCGAATGGAACGACGGGTGACCATATTAAAACTATGTCGTGCTGTTGTTCCATGGTAAGAGTGCAAAATCCATTGATACCCACTGCTCATTCACGACGGTTTTCGGCTGGATAAGATCAGATATCTCGTGAATAAGAGTCGATTTAGACAATCGTCAAGTCGGTAGGTCATTTAGGATATGGCTGAAGACCGCGGTTCGTATTCTGCCTAAACAAAGTAGGGCCTGTCCAGACTAACCTCATCATAAAAAAAGAGGTTAATTTGATGTACTTTACTAGTAAAACTTAAGTCTTTTCTTGCATTTACAATATATTTTTATGTAAATACTTTATGACAACCAGAATGCCGGTATACAAAAAATTATTTCTATTTGCATAGTTTGTATTTTTCTCTACTATGTCCGATATTACATTTATAATTCATGGATTCTTTTTGAGAATCTTTTCCTTGGGGACCTAAAAAAGTAATAAAAATAAATCAAACTGATACAGAGAGAAAAGAAAGGGTGAGGGAGAATCTTAAGATATGCAATATCTGAAAAAATGTTAGCTTTATAGGATCCAAGAACCGATCTTTTTTGTTTTTAATATACAGGGCTTAAAAAAATAGTGTATTTAACTTTGGTGGGTAATTCTACTAATAAAAATAAAACAAAAAGTTTCTATGAACATATGTCCTAAAATGATTCCCGAAGAAATTACAGCCCTCGAAAGGTTAAATAAAAATAATATAATTTTGTTTATTTTTAAGAACATTGGTAAACCATTATTCCTGAAATTTGGTACTCTTACATACATTTTAATGCCAAAGCGAATGGCGATTATGAGAAATTCAGTAACAGTTCTAAAAGGGCACTTTCCATTAGGGTAGAGAGTACTACTGGCGGTACTTTTTTTTTCCACAATAAGGGGCCGTCCTCTGCCGGAAACACTGCGACCTGTGAGGTCTATTGTGTTTGTCCCCTTTCTATATCTGCACCCATTCTCCTATCCCTGTGCCCTGCACTAACTTATGTAGGTCCTTGATAGGATGGGAGCATAGTTCCTCCGGTTCTAGCCTAGCTTTCCCAAATAAAAAGTGTCGCTTGCGATCCAGAGCCTCGCAGTGACATATTATGTGCTCCGCTGTTTCAGGATCTTTATCGCAGAGTCTGCAGCAAAGACTTCCTTGATACAGGTTGAGCTTGTTCAGGTAACACTTGACAGCCATATGTCCTGTCAAGAGGCTCTGCTGTAATCTGGGTAATTTATTCCTGCTAAGCATTAGCAGTTCTTTTGCGGTTTTGGAGCTAGGTCCTTGGATAAAAGCCTTTGCTGTGCCTGTGCCCCTGTCTGTTTCTCCAGTGGACATTCTGCTTTCCCCTGATCCAGAATTTTAATGCACTACGGGCCATACATTTGGGTATTCCCAGTACTGGCTCTGGACTAAGATAAGATGCCGATGATCCTTGCCTAGCTAGCTCATCGGCTTTTCGTTGCCTTGGATGCCGCTGTGGCCCGGCACCCAGAATAATTTAATTCTGTTCCGTCGAGCCAGAGCTTCCAGTTCACCTAGGCCACCTTCCAGTCATTCTGTGACGAGTCTCGACGATACCTTTTAGCTCATAAGCGCCCCAAGTGCCGCCTGACTGTCTGAGCATATATATTGATGAGCTTATCTGAATAAGCTCTTCTATTCTATTTTCTCGCACATTGTAGAATGGCGAAGATTTCTGCCTGGAATACGGTTGAGTGTTTACCCAAGGAAAAAGGATAGACTTACCCTTGGTCTTTTCCCAAATACTCCAGCTCCTGTTCCTTAGGCGGTCTTTTGACCCGTCTGTATACCAGGTTAGTCCATCCTGAAGGAATGTTATATCTGTCCACATTCCTCGATCCATTTTGTTCACCTCGAATGGTTTTGTGGTAGTGATAAAGAGGGGTCATCTGGTCTGATCTCATTTGGAGTAGAGGTCCCCCCGATAGGATTTCTCCTCTCTCTTTGTGTGTCCTGTTTCTGTCCTATTTCCCAGAGACAAGACACTTGTTGTCGATAGAGTCCCATTCTTGCCTCCCGCCTGATCACTATGTGAAGAGGCGGAAGGTCCAGAAGCGCCTCCATTGATGCAGTGGGCGTTGATTTCATCGCCCCTGTTATGCTCAGACAAGCAAGTCTTTGCACCTTGCTGAGGCTGAGCATTGTTGTTTGTTGCATTACCTTAGGCCACCATACCAAGGATGCATATGTTACTGAAGGCCTCACCACTCCAGTGTACAACCAGTGCACCATCTGTGGTCTAAGGCCCCAGATTTTTCCATGAAGGCGTCTGACTACCGCTAGTGTAGTCACCGCCCTCCTTGTGACATTTTCCAAATGTCGGTTCTAGGTCAGTTTGGTATCAAGCGTGATTCCTAGATACTTGACCTCCCCCGAGAGAGGAATCTCATCACGGCAGAGTCTTAGAGGGCCTAGTCCCTCAAGTATTCTGCGCTTGGTGAAGGGGATTATTACGGTCTTTGTAGGACTAATATTTAGTCCCTCCCGTGTCACCCATAATTCCACAATCTTCAAGGTCCTTTGCATTCGCTCCCTTACTGTTGTGTTAAACTTACCTCTGACTAACACGACCAAATCGTCTGCATATCCCAGAGTGTTGAAACCAGCCCTGTTGAGACTATTAAGCAGTCCGTCGATAACGAGATTCCACAGCAGAGGGGAGAGAACTCCCCCCTGCGGGCATCCTCCCGCTACCCGGACCGCAACAGTCTCATTTAGGAGGGTGGTATATGCCACTCGACTTTTGAGCCTGCAGTCTATCCACCTGCAGCAGGTCTCCTCTAATCCGAGGTTCCTTGTAGCTCTCGTCAGTGACTGAAATGAGGTGTTATCAAACGCCCCTTCTATGTCGAGGAATGCCCCTAAAAGCACTTCTCTTGTTTCGAACGTCGACACCACTTTGCTTACTAGCTGATAGAGTGCCGATTCGGTTGATCGTCCTGCTGTATAGGCATGCTGGTCTTGGTGAAATGGTCTTTTTCCCATTATATCATCCCTAACATACCTGTCCATTAGTTTCTCAAGAGCCTTTAGTACGAACGACATAAGACTGATGGGCCTAAAAGCCTTTGCCGTAGAATAGTCCAGACGCCCATTCTTGGGTATAAAAGCTACCCTGGTCAGCCTCCAAATTCTCGGTATATCCTAAGGCCAGACTAGCTCTTAGTAGTGTACAAAGTTTGCTCGTCAGTAGGTCTGGTCCTTCCTGGAGCATTATTGGACAAATACCGTCCGGTCTCGGTGATTTGTATGGCTCAAATGAGCTTATAGCCCATTTTAACTTTGATTGGTCAATCACCCTTTTTGAAACCTGCCAGTCTTCCCTTGAGGCTCTTCTCATGAAGTTCTCAAGTCCACTACTCTTCCAGGTTTCTGGGGATTGCTCCAAGGCTATTGATCTGGGAAAGTGTACCAGAAAGAGTTCGGTCAGCGTCTCTTTCCCAGTGGATGTGTATTCTCCTGCACTAGTTACAAGAGAGTTAATTGAGGTCTGAGAGTCCTTAGAGAGTATTTTTTAAAGCCTGGCACATTCTGAGGTACTATCAATGCCCTCGCAGTACCTCCTCCAAGATAATCTCTTTGCTCTCTTCAGTTCCTTGTTATATTCGGTCAAAGAGGTCTTATATTCCCCCCAATCGCCGGATCTTTTTGCCCTATTCCAGTTTGGCGGTACTTATTTTATCCTTATAGATACAGTAATTTCAACAAAGAAATAATAAAAGCCGAAGAACAAGCAGGATTTAGAGCCGGAAGATCGACGGTGGACCAGTTATTTACAGTCACTCAAGTAATAAGTAAAAAGAACAATCTAAACCAAGAGCTACATCTTGTGTTCGTGGATCTGCAGAAGGCATACGACTTGTGAGACTTGGGAAGCTTTTGAAAAAAACAATATAAACGTGGAGCTAATAAAAGCAGTAAAATCTTTATATGAACAAACAAAACTAGAATAAAACAGATATTAA